GGCTCGCTGAGCGTTCCTGAGCGCGATATAATGGGGCAGCTGGAATTCCTTTCTTTATGGATTTTAGGTAACATATAGAAGCGCCCAGGCACGACGTGTTTAGCAGTTAGCCCCCGTAAACTTTTGTCGGTAATTTCATCTTGTTTCTCTAGCTGGATAAGTCGCTGATGTATAAATTCAGCATGCTGACTAGTTGGATCGTTGTTTAGATGACGGTTGAATTTCGCATCACTTAGTTGTCTATAGCCTTCTTTTATGTAATCCGAGATGTTTAGTATAACTACGGAACCCCCTTTATCAGCTGGTTTGAATATAATATCTTTTTGCTACCTAGATCCTTGAGCGCCAAGCGTTCGGGAAGCGAGAGGTTATAGTGATGCGGTTCTGATTTCTATAAGCTGACACAATGTCCTTTTGAACCGCGTGTATATAAAGGTCCTGATGCTTATCTCTGTTGGGACCGAGAGTCCAGCCGGACGATGTCGAAGGCAGAGGAGATGCCTTGGTGGAACTTTTCCAGGAATAATTCCAGAAGCCGAAGGCTTCGTTCGAAATTATCGAGATCATGGAGGAGCGTGAAATCGTCGGGGACGGGCAGAAGTTAAGACCCCTTGAGAGGAGCGACTCTTCGTCGTATGTTAGCTCTACAGTGGAATAATTAACTATTTTGCTACGATCAAGAGAGATATTCTGCATGTCAGGTCCACTCACCGTCGTCGGGGGATATTTAACATTATCCCTAGCTAGATTAATATTACTTACCTCCCTGATGATCCCACGTCTCTTTTCTTCAAATGATTTTAGTGCTGCCGTTTCATGCGGTGACAGTTTGTTGGCGCGAAGCAAATTACTTTCAATCCTTTGAACATTCCCCGAAGTTGTCTGGCAGTGATTTTTAATTATTTTTACTAAATCGAGAGAAGCACTAGTAAACACCGCGTGGCATTTTCTTAAATCGCTCTCGGAGAGCTGTGTCATACTATGTGATTTTTTTTTTTTTTGTAAACTTTTGGGAGCATTGCGCGCGTCGAGGAAGGTCTGAATGTATGCGGCATGTGACTCGTGGCGTATCCTTTTGTCCGCTAACTTCCTAATTTCTAAAAAAAACATGTGGTAAAAAGTTAACAGGTATCTCAATCAAAACAGACGGAGATTGTGATGTACTAAAGGGAGACCGTCAATCCTGTGACAAGCAGAAAGCCGCGCTGTGAGGCTTGCGCAGTTTGTAGCCCGCTTGAGGGGCAAGCTCGGTGATCTGGCTCCTCTGTCCGGCCGGGCGTCCGCCGGCGTCGTCTTCTAAGCAATTGGCGCCTGCCGTTTTGTGTCTGCCTCTCGGTTTTTGTGTGAAGTGCAGCCATTGTAATATTGCGAACGAAGAGGAGAGAAAGTGATTATTTATTTTTTATTGCATTAAAGATAGGGAAAGGGAAAGAGAGCTGGCGAAAGATTGGCCTGATATATAAAATTCCATTTTGCTGCGGCAAGGTTTACATAGGCCAGACCGGGAGGCGTTTGAACGAACGGTTACATGAACATGATTTATCACTGGTTTCAACAATGGGAGCACATTTACACATTCACTGCAGAGATTGCCGTTTCATTCCCAACTTTCAAGGCACTACAATCGTTGGGAGGGGCAAAGGAAAGGTGGCGAGGGAGGCACTGGAAGCATACATGATAAAGAAAGAATGTCCTGATAGGTGTATTTTCAGCCCTAACTTTTCCTTCACAAAAAAGAAGTGGATTTTATTGACACGTGGGGTGGCGAGTAATTGCTGACTGGTCACATTTCTGCAATATTTGTGGCTTTTGCTGTTTCTATTTTCCGTTTTTAGTTTCCAATAAAAATGACCGCCTCTCCACGTGGTGAATGATGTTGATTGGGGCGAAGCTCTGGTGGTGCTGATGGTACTGATTTTATTGTTCATAGGTAGTGCTGATGGTGCTGATTATTTTTATTGCTCATAGGTAGTGCTGAGTTCCGGGTTGCGTTTCGACCTCATTATTACTGCTTTATGGTCGGTGAAATGCAGAGCCAGTCGGGGAACCCATCTCCACCGCTTAAGTCAACGGTCCATATCAGAAAGGGTATGGAACGTGGTTATATACGCATTTGAGCATTTGACCGTAGCGCCCTCTCGTCTGTAAACGTTGAGCCAATGCGTGCAAAGTTTAACGCGATTATAAACGCATTTCACCGCAGCGCCCTCTCCTGTACATACGTTGAGGGGCTGCATGCAACGTTTCAACCATGACGGAAACCCCAGCTCTTGGGTTACTACCGCATCTCGGAGCCCCCTACTTGTCCCGCAGTCGTGGTCGAGTGGTTAAGGCGATGGACTAGAAATACCTTGGAGTCTCCCCGCACAGGTTCGGATCCTCTCGAGTGCGCAAACATGTTTTTCTTTTTACGCGAGCACGGACGCCGGCCGGACGGACGGACGGTCGGACGGACGGACAGACAAGGCTAGACCCTAAGGAGCTTCGCCCCTAAAATTCAGTTGATAGTCAGCGCTCATCCTGTTTGCATCTCCGTCTTCGTATTCGTCTTTATTGTTCACTTTCACTACTTTTCTACATTGTAAGAATAGAAGGGCCCAGCACGTTTCGAGCCGCACTTGACGCTCCTTACAGGTAATTAACCTAAACTGTTTTTCTTTTTGTGTGTGTGTGTTTTCTTTGCAAGTTTTAATATATATTGCTGTTTGTCCCCCCTTATATAAAGCCCCCTGAGGGTGATATAAGGGTACAATAAATGAAATGAAATGAGAACACAGGTCTGGACAAGAAATGTTGTGGCATGAAACGTCTTTAATAAAGTAAGTGTATGCGACTCCTTTGGTTGCGGGTATTGCTGAGTAGGGGTAGGAAGGGGGGTTCAAGGAAGCAGTGTTGCGCATTGAGCACTCTCATTCCATTCCAACTTTATTCCGGAATGTTAGTTTCCGCTACTTCAAATCCTTTCAGCACCTGGGAACGGATACGTTGGGCCTATTCCCACTCCAGGAATGGCTGAACCACTTCATTCCATTCCACTAACTTTGTTTATGTATCACGTGGTACATTCACAGCGCTATGTTCGCGGAATAGCTGTAGCGTCCGCTACGGCCCATCGTAAGGAAAAACGCAGTTCAGGCACTTACGAACGAGACACTTAAGCCGGGGTCACACAGATTATACATCATATATAGATTCCAAAGCAAGTCACCACGAGAGCAGTGCTTCGAATGCAGCGTGACAATGAGGTGACACGCGGCATTCGAACCATAGATATGGCGGTGACCGATTTCTGCAGACTGTCTTATGTATGTGTATAAACATGTGATTCCGGCTTGCGGTAATAATCAGCTTGCGGCCATTTGTGCGACAGGAACATGAGCGCGCTCGCCTCTGGAGCGTGAATATCTGCTTTCAAGAACGGCGGGCGGCGTGTCTTTGTCCGTGCCTTGTAGCTTATGACCCGTGCCTGTAATTGACCATGGTCGCAACAGTTGCCTTGTCGCCTCTCGGGCGCCAGGAACGACATGTTCTCCGTCTACAACTGTTCAGGTTCGGTTGCGTGATTGGGAGCGTCATTTTAATCCTCGAAGGAGCATGAGCAGTTTAAACAATTGAACCGTCAGGAACCAGGTAAGTGCAGTGATGATGTTTTAGCTGCCATTGCGATCGAGCTCTAGCGTTATGTCAGCAAGTTCCTTGTGGTTTGAGTTTCTCCCTCCCTTAAATCTAGGTCCTCTGTAGGGGTCTCCAAATGTTTCGGCTCAGGGGTCAGATTTAGAATATGTTGCAATCTCGGGTGAACTGGGGGGGAGGGGGGGGGGGTGGAGAGAGAGAAGGGGGAAAGGAGATGTAAATAAGTGAATAAAAATAACTAAATAAGTACAAATTACCATTTAAATACAAACACATAACCTACAAAAAAAACGCCCAGTACATATGCATACACAGCTTTAAACTCGATATGTTGCTAGTTATGACATTTCAAAGTAGTTATGAAACAGAAATTCGCCAGGCATAAATAAAAACGCATAAGAACTTTGGCATATTGGCACAGGGTAACGGCCTAAGGAAAATGGTAAATCTGATAATAACAATACACAATAGAGGACACTAAGAACGATACACGTGAGAATGCAAAGTAATTCTAACAAAGTTTCACAGACTTGAATCAGGGGACTACAAGAAGCATTGCTAGTGATCACAATGTATTATAAATGATATGGCGAAAGAGCACTCATTTTGATGCAGATTACTCTCATTTTTTTCTTGCGCCTTTAGTGCGCGTCACGGCACAGTTTCTTTCATATCTCCTTTTACGCTCGCATATTTTTACGTTAATAGTAGTAGACTGCGGGCCGGGTGTCACTGTAAAGACTGAGGTGCCCAGATCCATCTTGCGGAGGAGTTCCGGCGTGCAGCCGGAACTCCTCCTCAAGATGGATCTGGGCCGCGGGTCGCGTTTGGAGACCCCTGACCGAACACCTCCTAGACTAGGAAGGCCTCAGCGCTTACGAGTTGGGATACAAAGATGGCGGTGACTGACCTATGTGTTTTTTAACGTTTTAAAACAGCAGACATGAAAAGGTTACCTTCTTGAAAACGACACGATTGGATGTTTTTCAACGCGACGTTTGTATTGGAGGGAGGCGCACAAAATACAATTTAAAAAGTTAGCTAGTTAATCTGCGTTAATTAGCCAATTTGGCTCAGTGCATAAAAATAACTTGACTTCGTCAATTGAACAATACTAGGTCTATTTGAAACGCGTTGCGCACACCATGCTCTTTTAAAGTCTCCGCGCAAGTTAGCTGAAATACCTTGTGTATCTTTTTGTTTCGTTTCCTGTCAGAACTAAATGATATCGGTGGTTTCCTCTACTCATTATATTTCTAGAAATGCAAGACAGACACAGTGGAAGTTTTTTTCTTTTTAATCTCAAGTTTGCATACATATGGCTGATCCCTCACCACCCGACGTGCAGTTGAGGATCACATATAATAATTATAGGAAACTGGCTCGTATTGTCCTGTTAGTGTGGTATTACACATAACCGGATTGTAAACTCTAAATGCAGGCTTTCCACAAGTTATCATGAAGGCAAGAGTGCAATCGGCAGAAATCCGTTTAAATATAACCTCTTGAAACCATTTTTCAATGTCCTCTCCTACATTTGTTTCTATGAAACTTTTTTGATAATCTCTCAGTGTACAGTTTCCCTTAATGTCATACCATCCCTTATACTCCTTCATTAGTTCCTCTTCTTTTTTTATAATCTCATCTTTCAGGCCATCCACTATACTTTTCAACTCGGTTTTTCTCAGCCACAAATCGCAACCTATGAAAACGAAGAGACAACAATCAATTGTGAAGATCGTACAGACAGTTTTGGGCGACTGGGAAAGAACTCAAACGTGCGAAATCAAGTAACTCCAAATGAAAACGAAAGTCAGTGAGAGCACAGAGGAGCTGGTAAAAGTAAATAATGTCAAATGAAAATTTCAGCTGTCAGTCAAATCGTGTGCTGTGCACTACTCCCTCTGCTTGGCTCTGTTTTTGGCGCGTTGTTTTTGCTTTCCCTAATAGCGTCGTAGCTCTAATTGTTACAAAGGTGAACAAACTTTAGATAAGTAAAGTGTTTTTTGTGTTTTTAAGCCCCAGAATCTTGTTGTTTCAGCACACGACAAAAGAAGACATGAATATATTACTGAATGGGTATTCATTTTCTTTTGAAGGTGGGAGGCAAGAATAGGCATTGGAGTTTATATTATAATTAGAGCTCAGCTTACTATTCTGACATAGCGTTTCGTAATTATATATGTATAGTTTTTAAAAACATTATTTTTTGGCGTTTTTTTAGATTTATTTGTATTGTGTTTAGACATAACCTAGGCCATATACTAGTGGTACACACCCCTACAGACACATACACTTTCATGAAAAAAACACACACAATAACAAAACACAGAAAATCTGAACACTGGTGTTAGTAAATATGGAAGGTTAGTACACTTTTATAATCCATCTCACTACCGAAAATGTCAACCACCGCACTCATTGCATTATAATTGCTCTGAATTCGTAAAATGGGGGAAGTGAACACATGTCTTGCATGTATAGAGCGTGTTGTGGAGACGACAATTCGCGCGAGGGACATATATAAGCAACAGTGAAAGAAGTCTAGGGCGACGTGTTCTGGTATGCAGTTTTCTACAAAAAAGCATAACCTCGCAAAACTCCGGCGCCAGTGTGTGCAAGTTTAGCCGAAGTAACATTCACTCGTAGCTAACAAAAAGGACCGGTGGTCGTTATCAGGATCGTACACAATACGCGGCAACTTTCTCTGCCCCCCCCTCTTTTCACTTTAGTTGAGCCATGGCAAAGAGGTGACCTCCTCTCCAGCGTTCGCTGTGCTGAAGGGAAAAGAGTTGGGAGGAGTTTCCCCTGCAGACAGTTCCAAACTACAGTGCCGAACTATAGTTACGAACGCATAATAGGGGTGTAAAGCCTGACGAGACATGAAAGCTCTTTAAAATGACGGGTTAAGGGTTGTCCAAACAGGATACTTCAGAACTAGTGAAGCAACACCTCTCCGCCATATGAAGTGGAAGTTGGACCGTCTTCTGTTTGTACGTACACCAGGCAAACATCACGGCTTTCCTCCTCGCCTCATCCGCTTTCCTGTGAAGTTGGCGCCTGTCATCTCTTTCTTCTGCGCCCTCGTAACCTTCCCTTTCCTGTTTTCGGGATAAGGCTTAACAGCAGCGGAGGCCTTGCGTCATTGACTGACAGTCAACAGAGCGCGTGAGTGACTGTCCGAACCCGCATGATGAGCATGCACTGCGCCTCCGTCAAGAAGAGAAGCGGACAGTAGCAAAAAACAAACTTTACTCTCGGCAAAAAAACAAAGCAAACAAACAAGGAAACAGGCGGAAGCAGATTACCGCATTTCTTATGGCGGAGAAGTGTCGTTTCGCGCGTCCTGGACGTGCCCTGTTTGGGCAGCCCTTGATAGGCGTAAACAAACCCAAAAGCCGCAACCAAGAACTAACTAAATTTAACACATGATTAATAAAATTAAGAGGTTAATCAATAAAAACCCGTAAGTCAGGTAAATATTCCCGTCGTAGTGGTTCAATGTCTAGTTTATAAAAAAAAACAAATAAATAAATAGGCGCACGATTCTTTTGTTATTAAAAGATAAGTTTTTTTTTACTCTTTAGAGTTAATTTCTGTAAAACCCAACATAATGAGATAGCATATTTGTCCTGCAACAGCTCGCAATCAACATGTGATTGAATCCGTTTGAATATCTTAATATCATCAGGAAACTGAAGCAACTTTGAATGTTTTACACAAAGGCAGTGATTAACGGTAAAAATGTTAACAAGTAAGGGTCTGAGAATAGAACCCTGAGGATCGACAGATGATATATATGATCTCGATAATCCGTAAAGATATGACTGAAACCACAAACCTACCGGCCAACGCTACTTTCCGATAGCTTGTGCACTAAAAACTCATGGGGCACAGGTCAAATGCATTACTCAAGTCAAAATAAATGGCGTCCACCTGCCCATGGTTGGCAACAATGGGACCAGCGTATTTCAAATACTTTTATTTTCAGCAGTTTTACGCTCAAGAAAACCGTGTTGCGATTCATTTAATATTTATTTGAGATAACTAGAAATGTGCCCTTAACAGCTTGGAGAATGCGGTCAGTATACATGATGTTTGATTTTAACTCGAACAGTCATATGTAAAGCAAAGAAAACGTGAAAGGTGCACTAATGCTGTCTGTGGAGATGAGTTATAAAACTAAGGGGCTCATATTATAGCGGGCTAAACGTCACAAAAAGTCAGACGATCAACTAAAACTTTTTAGGTAGCTTTTTAGTTAGTTATAATGAAAGTATGTTTTAAATTAGAAACCTGCAGAACGTCATGAAAAACTACTAAATTATAAAATGTTGGATAGACGTATTGCACAATTAAAGTGCGGGGATGCGCTAAAGTCACCACTTGTGCAACAGGTGTAAGGCTGGCGGGGCGAAACGTGGTTGATTGTCATCAGTGAATCCCAGCAACACACTGTAGTATACATTGTTTCACCTTGGCTTGTCGCATAGCGAAAACTACGGCACCTTCGAACCAATCAGAGTGATGGCTGTGAAGATAGACAGCCCTTAAAGGCCGACGTACAGCCTTAGTTCCCTGTAGGGAAATTGATCCTCTCAGCGTCATACCTTCGAAAACTGCGAGGGGTGCCATGTTGGGACATGTTGCAAAGGTGGACTGGATACGGGAAAGAAGGCAGCGATAAAAAGTGGAAAACGCGAAGTGCATGTCGGCCTTTAACAAAAACACGGGGGCGAGAGCGTAACCCAAGCAGATGGAGAAGAGGGGAAGGGGGAACTGCCTTCTTAAGCCGAATCCTCTTTTGTGTCCGATATGTTACTGTTGTCGCCCTGCGAAATCAGCCCGTCACTCCAAATTTGTACAGAAGCGGCTTCCTCCTCTTTCTTGCTCATGGCTTCGACAGCACTGCCCGCAACTAGGACTAGCAACTGGTAAAGTCACGTGTCCAGCTTTTACGCGCTGACTGGTTCACCCGGCCGGTAGCCTTGGCCATTTGCCAAGATATGGTGAGACGGTGTATACATGCAGATTTTTCGATCGCCAAGAGGCTACGATAGCCGTTGGTGTTTCTTCATAGAATAGATCTCCATGTTGTCGCCTGCGCGGGATTTTCAGTTTTAGGTGTTTATTGGCAGAGGCGATGTTGAAAACATCTATTAAGTTTTTCTCCACTAGTGCCTACCTTTCATTATCAATCAAGTGTAGACCATTCGAAAAGGCCTTTTTTTCTTGCGAGTCTCCAACTGAGCATCAAATTACGTTTAATTACGTTGCACTGAAATTCTTAAGGTATTAAATATCACACACGATACTAGCAGCGTAAGGTATTTCATTGCAGTCCTGTGAAGCTACCTTTTTCGTCCAGAATTTAACAAATGTTGATTGGGCACGACATTGGGCACTGTTTGGAACACTCCTTTTTAGTCGGAACAAAACTTTGGTGCCAAGAGTTTTCATGGACATACCAATGGATATAAGCCTTCAAGGAACCGACGATTACCATCGAGTTTAGAGCACGACCTCAGTAAACTGAACACGTAAACTGAACACGTAAACTGAACTGCGCAAATATAAATAAAAGCAACGTAAACTAAATCTGTCGAAATACGCCTCTTGTACAGCTTGTTTTATTCTAGATTCCTGCGTTAGGCAACTTTGATTTATCGGTTTCTTCTTCCGCTATAATGCAAACTGCACTGCTTTCCTCACCACTTAAATTAGCGGAAATCAAGACAGTGTGACATTAACCTTGCTGAAGTTTTAAAGCCCTTACCTCCCTGGGCTGCAGGACTCCTGAGAATGTAACATTGCGGCTCGCTGTATACCACATACATGTCCATATACTGAGGATTTTCCGGAAAAGGGAAGTGTTGGTTTAGGATATTTTCGGTTGAATCAGAATCTCGTGCGCTGGGCTGAGGCCTCGAAGCAACACCTGCGTGGGGAAATCATTTTTGGCAATGAAACTGGTAAATATCACAAAAAAAAATGCCCCTCGTTTGTCGAGCATATAACCTCAACTTACCTCTATCAGGATAGGGAGTACTTCTGGAATAGCAGCTGGAGTTATCATACTGAGCGTACGTGTAGCTTCCTGGGGGAACTGGAGTAGCACTTGGGAGTCTTTCTGGTTTTGGGGTACAAAAACATTGTATCGGATTTTCAAAATAGTTCAGACGATTACGCAGCTAAAATCCTCCCAGTTTGCACACTAATATATGACCTGGCAGTGAAGCAAAGTCGCAAAGTACCTAATTACAACTATGTATGTTACTGTAATTAGTAACATATTTCGAAACTAAATAAGCTAGAATAAATTCTTTGTAACTATACCTGTAAATTAGCTACAACTTGTAACTTGACATAGTGATATTTAATTTCCGAATTTTCACTTTTGAGCATCATCGCCGAACACTTTAATTCTGCAGAAGCACCTGTTGGTGAAATGGCTTGACCTATTACTAAGTTCATTTTACATGACCCTCGAATTTCGTTAATTTTTAGTGAATAATATAAAGCCTGGCTTGACTGAAAATGACAGTAAATTATTATTGCGGAACCTCCTGGTCACCACTTTTCGAATTGAAGCAAATGGTTGCCACTTTCAGAAATTTGACTCATGAGACGATAGTCTGAAACAGGCTAACATATAACCGCAGTGTAGTAAATACAGCAAGTACGATGATGCTGAACGAAACCCGCTAAAGCTTCTTCGCTGCAGCTGTTCTCCAGTGCAGAACAAAATGACTTACCGTATTTATATTAAAATATAGCGAATCTGAACAAGTTTTAATGCAAGGGTGCCAGCGAGCTGCTTAAGAGCTGCCATGTTTAGCCCTACAGAGTTGGGAAACAGAAATACAGGACAACACGAATCTCCAAACACAGCTGAAGCTTATTTTACGAAACCCAACTTTAAATTCACAACCAATAAAAAGAAAACCTAAAAGACCAAAAGAAGATATGAAGGACATGCAGTGATGACGTCACATGTAACTAACCAAGAATACACGTATCCAAAGAGGGTACACATCAACCTCCAAGCGAGATTCGTCAACAAAGAGATGATAGATTGCACCGTGCGACGGACAGAAACTGGGGACATAGTAAAAGTAAATAACCCAATGATCACGAAGCAAGAAAAGGAATGAGGTCAACCAACCACTAATGGAACCAGTATGAAACGGCAATTAAGAGGCGCTTTCACGCAGTTGTCTAGAGAAACGAACATGTCGCATAAACAACAAGCGTGCCCATCAATCATCAGCGACTATTTTACTGAACGTTTTTAACAGTCCCTTTCCCTGTGGAGCACTTCAGTATTTTTCCAAACAACGACACAATTGCTTCTGAAGAAAGATGATTCGCTTATTCTGAACCTTTCGAATTGTTTTTCATCGTTTGCTTGTGTTGAATTAAGTTGTGATTAAGACACTTAGCCTTCTGACCCACGTTGTAAGAACCACACTTCACAGGAATATTGGACATTACACCCAGATCGCAATCCACCGTAGTGTCCCCGATTTTTGTTAGAACCTGCTTTCTGCGACCAAAAAGGTGCAAGCCGGTCGAGCCGAAAATCTGGTTTGAAAACAGCTGTCCACAAAACTTCCCCGCTGGTGCCTAAGGTTATGGGAGACATGAAAATAAGACAAACAACCCTACGTTTCTCTGCTCGGACGTATTTCGGTAAGTCAGAATTTGTCTGCAAACAATGGATGACCGAAAAGACACAAACTCCGTGCTGTAGCCAGCCAAGAACAATATTGTCACGAATGAGGAGGAGACGAAACAAAGAATATTTAACGAAACTGAAATGTTTAATGCTGCAAATTTGTGCCCAAAACAAAAAGGAAACAGAAGATAACACCATCTTTTAGACCACCTGAGACTGGCTGGAAGAAACCCGACGACGTCTCAAAAAATGGTAAACTTACACCAGCTCGCCAGCGCCCTAAATGTTTTTTTTTTTTGTTTTTGTTTTTTCAGAAGATAACAACCGAGCGCCGCGGTCGTCGAGGTCGGCGTAACAGCAGGATCGAACGCATGGGGCGAGACTGCCTCCGGTTCGCCACGCGGAGCCCCTTTTGTACGCGTGTGGGCTTCTGGAACAATCGGCGTGGAAGTTTCGACGCGTTAAACATTCTAACCTCGAATCATCAACATAGCTCCCAAATTGACCAGAACACCGCATTACAATGTCAACACAAATGTGTCCCCTCGGCCAGGCATCAAACTCTGGCTTTTTGCGTGGAAGGCAAGCGCAATTACCGCTAGGCGGCGAGTGTATTTTTTTTTTTTTTTTTTTTTTATGGCCGGTCTGGATATATACATTACAAAAGGATCACACTGTTAAATGCACTTCATGAAGATCACTTATGCGCGGTCGTAAAATTTAAAATTCTTTCAAGGGCTCAAGTACGTCTAGAACTGACACCCAATAAGGCGCACATTCCAAAGGGGAGTATACAGATTTTAGTATGCAGATAGATTCCACGAAATACAAACGTACGGTTCGGGCATCCTAGGCCACGAGCGCGCTGCCTACTTGGTCAGCGGCTCGGGCGGCAATATACGAAGCTGCTTATTCAACCAGCGCCCAAACCGTGAGAACAAGGAAACTTGAGTGACTCCGTTAGCACAGACTTGACAACTCCCCGCCTTACTGAATGACAACTTAATCTAAAGTGCAATGGCTCCCCTCTGTTTCTTCACTCTCCAGGGTTAAAAATGTTCCCTCTGAACAGATATGTATTTGAGAACTAAACGGGGCGTCGGCAATCACAGCACTTGTGGCCATACGTCACGGGATCGCTTACAAGGAACCGCAACGTAAAAAGGAGCCTCTGGTAAGCCTAAGCAGAGCGGCAACCGATGTTTTATTAGGGGCCTAGATCGTTCAGTGTCCCTTGGTTTCACATATGGTACCTAGAGCGCGTCTCCAACTGGTGTGTTTATCGTCCTTTCTCGCCCAAATATATGAAACTGTCCCGAAGTGGAAACAAACGACGTCACAGAAGCCGGAGTGTCCTGCTGTCAGATCTCAAGATCCTGGCGGTTGATCATAGAAATGCTGGCAAAAAACACGAGCGAACGCGAGCGCCGCTGTCGTCGCGGCGTCCCAACTTCTGGCTACAGAAGCTCCTATGGACTGCCACAATGGTGGAGGATCTGCAGTAGAACAGGCGACAGCCACATCTACCACCGCTGCTGGGACATTTCCAGATTCGCGGCCGGCGACAGAACGACACTTGTATGGGGTTATCAGGCGGGAATCGAGGGAGCACTTTTTTGATGCGGTAAACACACCGTTCTGAGACGAGTTCCAGACGCCGTTGTTCCACTGGATCTGCAAGCGAAACGGTGACTGCCGCTCTGCTGAGGCTTACCGGAGGCTCCATTTCACCTCCGTGCTAGCTTCGAAAACAAGTGCGCTTCGGGTGTAAATAACTGCGCTGTAATTTGGTTCACAATAGTGAATTTTCGGGTAGTTGGCTGTTGACCGACATGATAAAAGAGTAGCAGAAAAAAGGTGAGACACAGAAGAAACGAAACACAAGACGATGTTGCGTTTGGGAGGTCACGATCTCAGGTTCGGAACCAGGAGTCAGGGTTGTGGCTCGCTGATCACATAGCCCCAAAGAAACAGACCTGGAGTGGGATTTCTGATGTATAACTTTTATGTGCAGACTCAATATACAGATAGCATGGTCGACTGCTTAATCGGCCTCCGCGAACTTCCTGAGGCCATGCGATATAGCCCTCCGAGGGCGGGAAGGCCCGCTGAGCGAGAAGAGCTTTCCCCGGAGTTCGAGTGTTCACGCGGTGTTCGAATTGCGGGGGCGGCTGATGCAATTGCCCTGTGTTCTTTCAGCGAGGGACAGATGACGCATGCCGTAGCCGCTCTTGCCATGCTGCGGTGTCTGATCCAAGGTGTCGACGCTTTTGCCGTTCAAACTAAAACACAACACCGATAGACCCCCCCCCCCCCCCACACACACACAGACATACACACGTACACCGGCGTTTCTTCTCTCAAGTGCTGGTGTTCCCAGATCATCTCGAGGCTTCCGGAAGACTTTCTTTTTGTGTTTAGAGCCCTCAGCGAGGGCCCTAAAAGGCAATTCTATTTTCTATAGAATTGCCTTTTCTCAATATCTAGCGTAACTTGCCCTATGGGCATTCGACTTCCCATTAAAACACACCATTTGTGGAATGCAATTATAATTTTTCTTTAAAGAATTTCCAAATGAAGTCACTTTTTTAACTTAGGAAACGTAGGATACTGTAGAATTGGTCTATAAGGCTGACGCTTTGGATTGAATCATTCCTAATAGGGGGCGTAAATCGCCCTAGAAATTGGAACCAATTTGGACGAAGCGTTAAAAAGTTGACCCTCCCAAGCCGTATCCCTCCTCTCCTCCGGGTGTTACATACCTTTCAAGCTTGCCCGTATAACGTTTTCAAGCGGGTAGTCAGTTTGACTCAGAGCTCTCAGTTGTACTGTGGTATTCTCGCTGAAATATAAAGAAAAAATAATTACCAGCAGATTAAATTTTAAAATGCATATATTGCCGGCGCCCCGTTTTATCGCACGAATTTCGGTCGTAGCAGGACGAGGACACCTTAATTATCTGCCTGTTTTAACGTCCCTCTCTCTTTCTCTGCCAGTGTTTCTTTGCAATGCGAGCTAGAGGACAAGGCCTGTATCTTTCCCTCTTACGTCATCACTAGTGGCCCCACGCAGTGCCACTTGCCTCGAGTCAGCATCACCGCCAGCGCCACTTGCAGTATCTCACAACCAGCGTAACCCTAGCACGCGACGACGGTCTAAGGTGGATTTATCTGGCGCCCTGCGGCGACTCGCGTCGAGCCTCAACGTATTTGCCACCTAGGGCGGCTCGGCGATCCACAATGACGTGGTGCGCCGGTGTTGTCTTCTTGTTCTACGCGGTGTCGCTCTTTCGGCACGTCGAGCACGCGCACACATATACTCAGCGCATCGCCGCTTTTCTTAGGCTATCTCCTCCTCGTGCAGTCCGCTCCTTCCTCTTCAAAGGCGTTGTGAAGACTGCGGCGCATTCAGTGGGTGCCTCCTGGTGCATTCCGCGCATGTGTGCGTTAAGCAGTCATGGGCACGTTACCAGTAAAAAGTAAGAGTGTTACAGTTACAGTTACCCAGGGGAAGAAAGTAACTCTGCTACAGTTACAGTTACATGTTTCAAAAATACAGTTACAGTTACTGCAAAAACAGTTACGCCGTTGCTTTCTCGTTACAGTGCAGAAATTGGTCACAAACAATATTAGTTTATTTGTTACACTGACTATAGTGAGAAGAAAGGTAAACGGAGAAATTGAAAAAAAGTGTGAACCCGAAGGGTGTTCCTTTTTTGCTTCATTAGCCGTTTCAGCATTTTGATGTGCATAATTTATTTGGTTTATTTTTCAGTCCGAAACGAATGAGGACAGAGATGGTCACATAATTACCATATGGGATATACGCAGAAGCAAGCGTAAACATAGCAGGTCAAACAGCTTCCAAAGAATAAAGGGGAAATGAGACAATTAGCTTCTGGTGCTTTACGAGTGTACGACGACCACCGCGGCGTCTATGTCCGAAACGCCAACTGTGGAAGTTGTGTTCGCTCGAGGTTAAAGGCCGACGTACACTTCGCGCTTTCCACTTTTCCACTTCCCCTCCTTTCCTATATCCTCTCCACTTTTAAGCTTGTCCCAACTTGGCTCCCCTGGCAGATTAGGAGAGGGGAGCGCTAACAGGATTATCTTCCCTGCAGAAAACCGAGGTTGTACGTCGGCCTTCAACCCATCCGCCGCGCTGCGCTTTCGCCGCTTCGCGGCGACAGTCTGCGGCGGCTCGTTACAAAAATGTGAACTCATTTGGCCCACCCGAAAACGCCGCTTCATGGCGTCCGACTATTCGCTAAAGTGTCATTCGATAAAACGTGGGCGTTCGCTAAAACGTCATTCGATCAAGTGAGTGCCTCCCTTCCCCCCGATGCCTTTCCCAACGGAGCGGTTCCTTGAAACTGTGCGACTGCTTTCCTTTTTAAATGACAAGACGCAGCCAGACTACCTAGATAAGGACGCTAATAACAACCACTGGGAAATTTTAGGAGAGGAATTTGGAATTACAAGTGAGTTTCTCCGTGGCACTGGTTGCATGTCGTCTGTGTTGTGACGGATGTCGTGTTGATTTGGTGACACTATCGAAAGTAGCCGTCATCTCTGGCGCGCCGCCGGATCAGCAAAGCCCCGGCGGCGCGCCAGACCTGTCCTGTCCTTCGGTGTTTCGGTAGAACCAACTCGGCCGGACCCAAAACCTGCGCCTCCTACCCTTGGAGCGCGGCGACGTAGCAAGATCACCGAGCAGGCTAGGATAATCACATTCACGCTGATCACCAGGTCATTATGGACTCCTACCATGTAGGCAGCGAGTGCGGAACGGAAGAATGTAACGAAGAGCAGACGACGAAAGAGCGGGAAATCCGACGGGAGGTGCGATCGCGGGATCCAGTGCTGTCACGTGACGCCTGCGAAACGGAGGCCAATGTGGACTCCTCGCGTTGGGACGCCGCGCGGCGCTGCCGCCCAACGGCGCCGCCCGGTGGCGCCGCCCGGTGGCGCCGTCCACGCTAGTGTGGTCAGGCCTTAAGATGGCAATTTCTCCATGTCCGTGGCAGTGGGTTCTGATTTATATAGTAAAAAAAAAGGTAACTGTAACGCCCTAAACAGTTAGAATTACCCAATAAAAAAGTAACAGTGTTACAGTTACAAGTTACCAGTATTAAAGAGTAACGCGTTACAGGTGAACGTTACCGGAAGAAGTAACTAGTTACCGGTAGCGCGTTACTAGTAACTAGTTACTGTCCAAGACTGGCGTTGAGGAGAGGAGGGCAACACGTGTACCTCGCTCTCCTGGTCATGTTCACGTCTTTGCATTTGTTTGCCGCGATTTAGTGGTGGGTGAATTAGAAACATAAAGCCGTTTACAACTCCCTGTGACCAGTCTTGGGCAGTAACTAGTTACTAGTAACGCGTTACCGGTAACTAGTTACTTTTTTCGGTAACTTTTACCTTTAACGCGTTACTCTTTAATGCTGGTAACTTGTAACTGTAGCACTGTTACTTTTTTATTGGGTAACTGTAACTGTTTAGGCCGTTACAGTTACGTTTTTTTTACTATATAAATTAGAACCCACTGTCGCGGGGAAATTGCCATTTCGAAGTAATTTTCTCCAAACTCCTCGCTCAGAAAAAAAAAGAAATGTGGTTACGGACTAAACAAACAAAAAATTGCCTGGTTTAGCCCACTACCTAGAATGTACGACGGACGAGTCAGCACGAAACCGGGAGATAAAGGAAGCGGCGCCCGCGGTGGTAGGGGTGGCAAACAATGTCTGTTTCGCTGGCTTTGGCTCACTCTTCTCTCGTGGGGACCATCTGCGGGTGTCGGTAGTCGTGCGATGTCTCCGAGGATTCCGTCTGGGCTGTGTCTGGGATATGTGCTTGCTGTTGTTTTTACACCCAGCCGTTCGCCGTTTCCTCATTCCTATTAGTTTTCAAGGAAACCGTCCCCATAATGTGCAGGAAGCCGGCGCTTGTTCAACTTATTCATTCTCTTCGAAAGTCGGAGCCGTTCGAGTGAACACGACTTCCACAGTTGGCGTTTCCGTAGACTCGTAGAGCACCAGAATCTCATTGTCTCCTTTCCCCTTTTATATTTTCGAAGCTGTTTGACCTGTTATGTTTAGGCCTGCTTCCGAGTGTATTCCTCCCATAAGGAGACTATGTGACCATCTCTGTCCTCATTCGTTTCGGAGTGAAAACTAAACCAAAACGATTATTGACGCGGGCCGATGACAATTTAAAAAAAACGGTTGATTCTAAGTTATAACAATTATTGCAAATAAATTATGCACATCAAAATGCTGAAACGGCGAATGACGCAACAAAAGAAACACCCTTCGGGTTAAATCTTTTTAATTTCTCAGTTTACTTTTCTTCTCATTATAGTGTAACAAATAAAATAATATTGTTTTGATTTGAGATTCTTTGTGTCCAATTTTTGTACTGTAACGAGAAAGTAATGGCGTTCCTGTTTTTTCAGTAACTGTAACTGTAACACGTTTCGTTTTGAATCCGGTAACTGTAACTGTAACAGAGTTACTTTTTTCCCTTAGGTAACTGTAACTGTTACACTGTTACTTTTTACTGGTAACGTGCCTCATGACTGCCTGTGACACCGGATTGGAGCGCAGCTCTCGAGGAGGAGGATGGAAGGGTACTGAGGGGAGGGTGTACCGTTCCTCCCTCCTCCTCACCTCGTCATCCTGCCTGCTACTCCGCCACGGGGGACATGTGTCCTCACGTGGCCCCCCTGAGGTCACGTGACCCCCTCTGAGGTTAGGAGACCCCACTTGAAGCCACGTGGCCCCCGAGAGGTTAGGTGACCCCCTGAGGTCACGTGACCCAACCTTAGGTCACGTGGCCCCCGTGAGGTAACGCGATATCACGTGACCTCACTGTTACGCCGACGCTGACGGCGACGGCGACGGCGACGCCGCTTAAGCCGGAAACGGGCTCCTAAGAGCTGTGTTCTAAAATACCTCACTGTAAACGTTCGCAAGTACGGCCTCTGGGTGCCGCCCTCTTGCTGCTGGTGTGGGTAGATCGACTGATGGTCAATCACTGCTGAGGCGTTTCCACGGTTGGAGGCGTTCCAACCAAGATGGATGGAATGATGCTAACGGCTTTTCCCTTCATATCGGGCGGTAGCTTGCGCTACCTAGCCGAGAAGTTAAGAACAAAAACATGATTTCTTTCCTTCGGCAATTTGCTTCCCTCTGCAATTTCGTAACTCTCACCAGGCGATGTCGGATATCAACCAGGCGTTTTTTATCCACCATGGCCATAATAGCTTTCGAAGCATGGCCGCTTGCAAACGTCTGTATCACGCGCTAATTGTTCGGCCGAATAAATGGATTATTTCTTACTGCCTGACAGTAATATCATGCTTTTAATTGGTTCTTAATGTTTTATTCTTTTTGCCTTTTGTACCTTACTAATTGTGATTATGTTCAACGGTCTGACACCGACACACTGCACAAAACAATATTTGTGTCCGGTAAGACAATTCGCCCTCTAGACCAGCCGCTTTAGCGATCATAAAGAAAAAGCCTTAAAATTCCACAAGTTTTTGCCGTTTCAAATACGATTCGTCGCCTTTCAGCGCGCGCCCCTTACAAAAACTTTATATCTGGCCAGATCTGAAGATTTCAGATATGGCCATATAAAATATTGGCCACATATAACCTGATATGGTATATCCGCAGATATAGCCCCATAATGCCAGATATAGCCTGATACCCCTGGCGAGGTATGAAAATCCCAGATCTGACTAAGTAAGGAAATTGCAGATCTGACCAGGCATATCTAAAGGACACAAGCCTGAAATCAGCACTTTATATCTTTTTGTTGTCTACAATTCTCCCAAGTG